AATTTTGCAAACTCAGTCTCTCTGCAAGTCCAAGGTATTGGACTAACTGGAGAGCCGGAAGCTCAATTAGAATTGTGTTTTTTATAGTAGTAAAGGTGGGGGTGAGGGGTCTCTGAGGTTCAAAATCCCTGATTGTTTGACATTTGTCTAGGGGTGTCCTGGTGAGTAGTGCTGGCAGTTGGAATGTTAGGCATTTCCTTTGAATGGTCTGCTCTTGGGTGGTGGTCAGGTCATCTCAGCTTGTGGTTCTTTCTGCTACCAGGTATTTGCTTCAGTGTAAGCTACTGAGACTCAGGCCTCTTATTAAATTTATCGAGGACCCAGTTCTACTCTGGCAGGTGATAATGGTTGGAAGTCAAGAACTTCCTTGGGGTGACATGCCCAGACTTAGCTTATCATGGCTGGCCCCCACAAGGTGACCAGTGCATTTCTGGTAGCCAGCTATTTCTGGGGATCCATCGGTCAGGGAGCACTAGAATCTAAACCAATTGTTTTACTTCATGGGTTGCCATTGTTTAATCCAAATGGTAGCGCTTGAGAGAACCACATGACTGTAGTTATTAACATTGCTGAGACTGGCAGAAAGGGAAGCCCAGTTGTTGCTCTTGTGACTTGGTGCTATACCAGGGCCTCACTGAGCAGAGATAGGCCCTTGAAGCAGTTTTTGATAACAGAAACTGGAGGATGCTGTTGACATGTCTTCTCATCAAAGGGTGTCCTTGATAAAGGAGTTCAGTTACTTGGATACAAAATAGGCTAGGAAACTAAGGAGGCGGGGCCTAAAGACTACCAGGAAGAGGAAGGAGTTAGCCAGGGCAGCCAGCTTCCCAGAGAGTTGGAATGTCAGCAGAGTTCAGATAGATGCTCAGGCTCAGGGGAATGGGGGAAGACAGTTTGGCTGCATCTCAGACCACTCTAGACTGGTTCATATAGAAGTAGCACATTCTTCCTAGAGGAAGAGGCCCCTCCTTTCTTGGCAATAAGAAAGCTCAGAACTCAGCAGTTTTAGAGAACACCTACCAATAAGTCTATTTGGGTTAAGATGGTTGTAATTGTTGTGTGATACTCTTCCCGAGGAGATGTAAGCAAATGTCTACTTACCCCATAGGGAACTAAAGACAGACCAAAGTCACACTTGGTGAACCAATGAGTTTTACTTGGGTTACTCACAGGAATGCGGGTGAGGGATTACTTAGAGCAGAAACGACTCAGACAACTGCATCACCCAGCATGGATAACAGCTTTCAAAGGCTGGGAACCTGGAGCTCACTTCCCAGCCTTCAGGCACATCAACAGCTTGGATGGTGTCCTTTCCTAGTGCCTCTGAAGCTCTGCAGCTCTTTCAGGCAGGTTTCTGTCTCTTTATTCCAGGCTGCTGTGCCTGAGTCTATCCTACACAGCTCTGCTTGTGTGAGCTTCTGTGAATCTTGGCTTGACCGAGAGGGACTCTAAGCAGTCTTTATTGTTTCTGTACTTTTGGGGAAGGAGAGGACTAATGAACCAATCAGGTCAGTTTCAGGGACTTCCTGGAGCCATTTGGAGTTGTTGACTTCCTGTTTTTAGGAGCTTCCCTTGAGGATGGAAGTGTTTCATCTCTAGGACATCCCATTGTTTTACCTCCATGTAGACATCCTGTCCTCAAATACTTTACTTCCCCTTTACATCCTATGCCTTAAGAAGTTTCCCTCCAAGATGGAAGGCTTTAACCCTGAAGGAAACTCCTAGGCAACAGGTGGATTTTCATCTAGGCTATTTGAAACCCTTAAAAAACTGTTGGAAGCCAGTGGTGATGCATGCCTTTAATCCCAGTACTCGGGAGGCAGAGCTTGGTGAGTTCGAGACCAGCCTGGTCTACAAGAGCTAGTTCCAGGGTAGGCTCTAAAGCTACAAATGAACACTGTCTCGGGGGATTTTTTTTTTTTAAAGAATAAAGTAAATAATAATAAAAAGAGCAGTTGGAAACAGACCAGAGGAGGGCATGCCAGCTATGTCTATATGGATGGCAGAAAAAAATATCCAAGCCTTCAAAGGAGAGGGAGTAAGCAAGGGGCTCCCTTAGGATGTGCAGTTGAAACCAACAAGGGCATTGAAGCAAAAAGGATAACAATCATGGTTTGGTTATTGGGAAGGAATTCATATTTTCATATGATCAACTGTCTGAGACACAGAACTAAGTTGATATTGCAGGGTGGGGTTAGGGGAGGAGTTGAGATAGAAGAGGTGTAAGAAGGTGTTTTATTTTGTCAATGACATAAGCTAGAGTTATCTGAGAAAAGGGAACCTTCATTGAGAAAATGCCTCCCTAAGACTGGCCTGTAAAGAAGCCTCTTGGGCATTTTCTTAATTAGTGATTGATGTGGGAGGACCCAGGCCATTCTGCGTGGTGCTAGTAATCCTGAGACAAAAAAGAAAGTGGGCTGAGCAAGCCACAGGAGCAGGCAAGCCAGCAAGCAGCATCCCTCCATGACTTCTGCTTCATTCCTGCCTCCAGGTCCTGGCCTAGTCTCTCTCCATGATGGAGTGTGGTCTAAGAGTTCTGAGCTGAAATCAACCCCCTTTTCCCCCAGATTGCTTTTGGCAATGCTGTTTGTCACAGCAATAGAAGCCCTAAGACAGAGATGGGTACCAGGTGCAGGGAATATTGTCTTGACAGACCTGACCATGTATTTTCAGGAGAAATGTGGTATTTGAACTTTGGGCTGGAAAAGGCATTGACTATTCAGAGCGTCAGGATCTGTTGTGGGAGCTAAGAAGATAAACCTGAGAGCAGTATAGAAGATGGAGGCCTGACTTGCGAAGTTTCAGAGGGATGTTTGAGAGTCCCTAAGGACCCTAACAAGTCATTAGATGTTTTAAACTAAGAAGCCATGGTTCTGGGCAGTTGGGTCTGAAGATTACCAAAAGACCAGAACTAGGAAAGTGAATCTTTGCTTTGGGGGACAACTGATCCTGGTTAGCTGGAGCTGAGGAACTGATGCTCATTAAAGGGGAGACCAGCATCAGCACCACCAAGGTGAAATCTGAGAAGCTGTGGTCCAGAGAGGGGAGCAGGAAGGCTCCATCTCACAGTGGCAGCTGAACCTGGTAATGTATAGAAGTTTCTCAGGTGGTACCGGTTTTAAAGGCATAAAGGGGTCGTTGAGAGCTGCTCAAGTTTTGCCTGTGTGGGAAGAGGATAGGACATCGGTGAAGGTACAGCCTCAGTTGCATAAGAAACCCCAGGACCGGAGAGGTAAGGGACAGATGGGGAGACCTGTCACCATGTGGCAGAGTCAGAGTCCCTGTAGAGAGCACAGAAGAGGCTACTGGTGAAGGCACAGCCCAGTTACAGTGGAGATCCCAGCGTTTTGGAGACGTATTATGGGATGACTGCAAAGGACAGTAGCAGCTGTAGGGTGGATCCAGCCGGAGACTGAGACAAGCTGTGTGTGCTGCAGATACCAGAGCTGGAGAGACAGAGACAGCCCAGAAGATTTCGAGGCCTAGATGTCAGGCAGTAAGCTGTTGACACTGCTGTCCTTTGATCCTGCTGTGATTGGGATGTGACTGTGCCCTGGTTCTCCCCTCTTGGAGTACAAAAGCGGTCAACTTGTGGCTTTCTTTTACAGGAGCCCAGTTTAGAAGCGTTGGATATTTTAAAGAGACTTTGAACTGTTGAGATTTTAGGTGTTTTTTTTTTTTTTTTTCATTGTTTGCTTGTTGGTTTTTATTTTGTTTTGTTTTAAAAGACTGAACTATTTTTTATTCATTTCTTTAATTTTACATCCTGGCCACAACCTCCACTGCCATACTCCATTTCCAGTCTCTCTCCCCCATTTCCCACCCCTTATCCCAATCCCCTCCTCTTCCATCTCCACTCAAGAAAGGGCCTGAGTGTCAGTAAACTATGAGTATCAGTAAAACATGGCCTATCAAGTTGCAGTAAGACTGAGTATCTACCTTCCCTTGTATTAAAGCTGAACAAAGTGGCCAGTATGAGAAGTAGGGTTCCAAATGTCAGTAAAAGATTCCGAGACAGCCCATGTTCCCACTGTTAGGAATCCCACAAGTGGACCAAGCTACATGACTATAACATATCTGCAGAGTGCCGGCTCACTCTCTGTGAGCCCCTGTGAGCGCAGGTTAGTTGATTGCGTGAGCCTTCCCATGGTGTCCTTGACCCCTCTGGCTCTCACACTCCTTTCCCTTCCTCCTCTACAGTTTTCCTGAGCTCTATCTAATGTTTGGCTGTGGGTTTCTTCACCTCCTTCTATCAGTGGTTGGATGACGCTTCCCTGATAACTGGGCCAGGCACCAGTCTGGTCACAGGAGAGAGCAAATGCAGGCTCCTTATCCACTGTTGCTAGGAGTCAAAGCTAGGGTCCTCCCCATAGACTCCTGCACCAGGCTTCAGCCTGACCCTGAAATGCTCCTCCTCCAGCAGTCTCCTCAGCACTCCTGCCTCCATGCCCCAGCCAATCCGATGGCTCATGTTCCCTTCCCAACCCGCCCTCAGTCTGCTCACAATATCTCCTCTGCGTCCTCTTCCCAGGGAGACCTGGTGTCCACCCATAAACTCTCTTTGTTAACTAGAGAATGAACTTTTAAAGTGTTTGAATTTTTAAAGACCACAGGACTCTAAGTTTGTGTTTCATATTTAGATATTGGTATTAAGATGAGATCTTGTGGATGAATGAAAAAGTATTTCAGTTGAATAATAATATGTTCATATGTCAAGTCGAAAAGGGGCCACTTGTTCTGTTTTGCTTTTTATTTTTCCTGTCAGCTTGACATACGCTAATGCCATCTTAGATGAAGAAACCCAGTGAGAAAACATCTCCGTAAGATTGGTCAGGACTGGCAGTCCTATGTGGCACATTGGTGAGGATTGCCTTGGTCATCATATCTTATCACAGCTGCAGAAAAGTAACCAATGTACACAGTGGGAACATGGTAACGCCTCGGGTGCTCTCTTCCATGCATAGGCAGTCCTGAGTAATTAATCCCTCCCTACTGTGCAGGTACTGGATGTCAGCAGAGAAGGCAAAGAAGAGGTGTTCTATGGACCTACACTTCCCTTTGCTTCGAATGGCATAGCAGCATGCTTCCTTCCCGCTCCGTATTTCACGTGCCCCAACCTTCAGACCCTGCAGGTGCCTCATCACAGAATCGGCACTGTCTGAGAAGCCAGCACTGTTAGACAGCATCAGGAGCCCGAAGGAGAGCTTGACATCTGGATACAGGCCACGAACATCCTCAGTGTTCCATGCTTCCCTGTCATGTTTTACAGGTCTAAAATTGTCTAAATACTAGCAAAAAAAGAAAAAAAAAGAGCAATTTTCTAAAACATATTGCGAGAATTCCGTCACTTCTTTTCCATGTATGTTAACACACGTATGTATAACTTTTTGTTGTGGTGCACCTTAATGCTGTCCGATGGGCACATTACTGTTTCATGGATCTTTAAGACATTCCTCTTACCCTGTTCTTATCAGCGCCATCCAGTGTCACGTGACACTGTTAGTAAGGCATCTTTCACAGTGGCATTGGTTGTCTCCTAATCTTCTGCACTGCTGCCCTTGACTGCTTAAACATCAGAGCATCCGTCAGTTTTTAAAGCATTGTCACATTCTGCAGCTCTGCTCAGGAGAGGCTAGCAGTGCGATGTCGTAAGCAGCACTAAGGGCCATGTGTTACTCAAGGTGATAGGAGAAGCCGACTTGGAAAAGGCAGATTTCCAGCCCTGCTTACTCTGCCCTTGTGTGGGAACTTTACAGCCTCAAAAAATGGTAACTGTTCATCTCCACGTTAACTGAAAAGAATGCTGTGAGAATCAGGCAAATGCTCAGAACTTTGCCTAAGAAGAAAAGTTACTCAAATTCTAAAGTGTTTTACTGTCTTTTAGAACCTTGTTAACTGAACCACGTCCGGTGTGATAAACGAGTCTAAGAATATCAGGAAGACACTGTACCTATCCTAACTAGGAACACCAAAGATCCCTAAGCTTGTACAAATTCTTGCCAGAAAGAATTCTCTTAAATGCCTCATCTTAAAAAACAAAAATTAGCTGTACTAGCCATGATACCACAGGAGGCTGTGACATAAATCTGAACTGAGAGTGGGCAGTTCTAATGGACATTTTCCAAGTTACTAAAGGCTATGCCAATCCTGAGTGCTTCTGGGATTCCCCACCACTGCCAATACATTTTTTATTACTACCACTTTTAATGATGCAAAGTTCTTTTTTTAGTTTAGAATTTTGGGTTCGCTTTATCTACAACCAAAATAAATCATCTTAATAATAACATTTTAACATAAACTCAACATGTTTGTTTTCCTAATCTTGCCAAGACTTGACGTCATTTTTATTAAACGGCTGCTTTCCCACTGCCACTCGGTCATTCCAGCAGTGCCTGCGTCACAGAAACTTTTAACTGTGGAACCACTTTTGTTTTTAATCTTCATAAGTAAATGAAAAAATAACCCTTTTCTGTTTGTGTAGGGTGGCTTCAATAGGCTATGTAACTATGCTGGCCCCCCAACTCCTGATCCTCGCAGATAAAACAACGTGTTTGTCTTAGCAATCTCACTAACTCTAAGCACTGTGTAAGGACACCTAACACATGGTTCTTGAGAGTAAAAATGATCTAGTTACTGGGTTACAGGACAGGAAGAAAGGTAACAAACTCGAGTCAGACAGAGCAGCGACAGCTGGTGTGGACAGACGCTGCAAGCACTTAAAAAGCTTCCTCAGAGCCTTCAGAAATAAACTTAAGACATTCTGTCAGTCTCGAAAATGCATTCCTGCCCTGCTGAATTCTTACAATACAGGCATAGATAGCAGGTGTTTCAGACTTACTGATGTCTCTAAAACCATTAAATACATAATGCTATAGTAAACAAACAAATAAATGAACAAATAGTTATATTCCCAGGTCCTATACCCTGAATGAAAGGAAATGGCTTCAAAATAAGCTTGCCTGAATGACAACCTTAGACATTCTGGATTCATTTCTAAGCATTCATTTAAGTCAGTATAAACTACCAGTTAGTTTCTCCTTGATTGTGTTCATTCTTGCCGAGTATGGACATATTCTTCACATCTCTAATCAAAGAAGAGCATCAAAACTATCACACGCCTTTACTACAAAAAAAGAAGATCCATAGTGCACAGTTAGATCCCTTCCCCCAAATCGTCTGCAATGAGGAAAACAATCTATGGACTTATAGTTGACGTATATTATAAACAAACCCCATTTGGAATACTGTTATATAGCTATCTACTATTCAAGTGTAGTATCCATTAGTGATTTGTCTTCTATTTTCAGTCCTCAGCATTAAAGACTGGATTTTGTTTTCCCTATGGGACCAAAAGACTTTGAAGCACCTAAATATCACTTGAGGATTCTACTTTAAAACATAAACTGAGTTTCCACAATAATTCTGTTGTGAAAGGCAAAGCTGGCAAAGACATGACTCTCCACCTACAATGTAAGATGCAATAAACCCCCTAATCTTTAAAAATAAGATAGCAACGACATCACAATTGCGGCACCTTTTGTACCGTCTTGTTTTCTTCACAACTAAGTACATGAGGAGCATCCCCTTTACCTACCGCAGAAGTGGGAACCTTCAATTGTTTCCCCACGAATTATAAATGCAATAGGAATGAAAGATACTGTTTCTCTAAGTAACATGGCTCCTCTTTTATTTTCATTAGATAATCAGCGACACACTGCAGGTCAAATGCACACATTAAAATTGATATGCCTATCTTTCATCTTTATTATATGCAAACAACCTATAACTACACATAAAACAATATCTATAACATGTAACAAACTGGGTAACTGTCGGCACAACAATGTTCTAAGTAAGGATGGGGATAAAGCCTGGTTGGTAGAGTGCTCACCTCACCTGCCTGAACCTAGGGCTCCTCTGTGGGAGCTCATGCTTGTAATCCCAGTTTGCTTGGGAAGTGGAGGTCAGAGGATCCGAATTCAAGGTCACTCTTGGCTACCAAGAATTTTCAAAGAAGCCAGCCTGAAACAGAGACACTGACCCTGTCTTTCACAAATAAACACATAAGTAAAATAATAAAATCGGTCAATTAGAATCGTATGGTACTGAATCAGGTAAGTTCACCATACAGAAGATCCCAGTGAAAACACAACTCTTGTATTTAGAAAGAAGATCCTATTTTGCTAGACTCCTAGACTTATTGTCTTAACTAAATAAAGCACACCGTTTTTACTGACATTTTACACTCTTGCTTGTCTAGGCAATACATTTGACTCTAAGAAGGGTAGGCATTTGGTGTTGCTCAGTGCAGGAAAGAAGATGTAGGACGTAGAAAGAACAAATTTCCTTGAGGGTTTCCCCAAAGTGCAGAAAGATACCAATTTTTATATAAAATATGAACTGCCAAAGATCCTGTGGAAACTGTGTGATTATTCTGATGATGGACACCTATCACTCCCTCGCTCAAGCACTTGGTGGGAGGCTAAGGCAGAAGGATTATACATTTAAGGCTGGCCTGGGATAAACAGCAAGACACTCAAAAAAGAACAGAAATGTAAACAAAACCTAGTAAGAGAGAGAGAAAAAAAATGTTGAGAACACATGGAAATAAGCCCATATATTATTTAGAAACAAAGTATCTTATAACTGAGGAAGAACACGGTAGAGGTGTTTATCACCAAGTTTGAAGGCCTGCGTCAGATTCTTCAGACCAACATGGTGGGAGAAGAGAACTGATTTTTCCAAGTTGTCCTCTGACCTAATGTATGTGCGCACACACACATATACAAAAACAGGTGGGTAAAGGAAAACATTATTTTAAAAAGTGAAGTCAGTGTGGAGCACATACCTACATTCCTGCCACTGGGGTGCCTAAGGCAAGGATTTTGAGTTTGAGTGTGGCTAGCCTGAGCTACACGGCGAGCCAGAATTCATACACTGAGCCCCTATATCAACAAAACAAAATCACCAAGCAAAGAAAACAAACCACTAAACCAAACATACCAAACCTGAGGAAAAGTCTGATAGAGGCTACAGGATAATATACATCCATCAGTCCAAGACATAATAAAAATACTTTCTTAAATAAATGCTGAGATAGAAAAGCAAGTCAAATGCAGTCATCCATCACTTAATGGCTGGGATGTACTCTGAGAAATGCATCCTTAGGCAAAATCATTGTACTAGCACAATAGGTGGTAGTCAATCATTTGTGGCCTCTGGACGCTATCCAGATATGTGGTGCTGGTGTAATAAGGCTTACTGTTTTACAATAAAGTTTTTCTGAGTACTTTTATATAGTAGGCGTACAATCTAAAACAAAGAGGGGTAATAAGTACACAAAGCACCAAGTCATCTATCATGAAGTCTTATGTACTGTACATAGTTATACGTGCTGTATATAGTTCTGTGTCTGGCAGGGTGATGGGCTCACCTGTCCCAGCGTCACTACTTGTGTTGACTATATTACACTGTGATGTTACAATGGCAATGAACCTAGGTGGTAGGGACGTTGGCGATCTGCCATAATCTCATGGGATTACCTTGGTATGTGAGTCCTATCACTGAAACATCATGTACCACATGATTTTACTTAAGAGAAAAATGATATATAGACATTTAAAATTATGAAATCTTTCTAGTGCAAATGAACTTAGTACTCATTGAGTTTTGCAGATCATCCTTCAAATTTCTCTTACCTATCTAGTTAGATGCTAATTAAATTGAAGTTTGAATCAAAACCAAATCTTAATGTCTAATAAAACGTTTTCATCACTCTGTTGCCCTCCGCTCATCTTTTATACCCATTCCATCTGGTGATTTATAGGTATCTGACTGGAATGCTCACATGCCCAATACATACATTTTTCTTCCTTTTTGACTGCTTTAAGTTTCTATAGAAATGAAATTTATTAATTTTCAGCCTTTATGAAAAAGAATGATACACCGTGCTGGCCAGCTGAATGAACCTGAGTGCAGAATGAACAGTGTTCAGAGAAAGTGAGTTTCATGGCTGTCTGAAATTCTTTTTTTACTGCTGTGATGTACACCATGACCAAAAAACTGGGGAGGGAAAGGGCTGCTTTCAGCTTATAGTGGCAGTCCGTTATTAAGGGCAGGGCAGGAGCTCAAGGCAGGAGGGAACTAAAGCAGAGGACATGGAGGAACACTGCTTACAGGCTGGCTCATCTTGCTTTCTTCTACTACCATGAGCCACCTACTAAGAAGTGGCATGGTTCTCAGTGGACTGGACCTTCCTCTATCAGTCTGTTACCAAAGAGTGCATGACAAACCTGCATACAAGCAATCTGGGGGAGACATTTACTCAACTGAGTTTACTCTTCCCAGATAACTCTTGTTTTAAGTTCACGGTAAGCCAATCAGGACACTGGCGATTGTGAATAGGGCAGCAGAGAACATGACTGAGCAACTATCTCTGAAGTAGAACACAGAGTTCTTTGGGTGTATGCCCAGGGGCGGGATAGCTGTGTCTTTTTTTTTTTTTTTTTTTGTTTTTTCGATACAGGGTTTCTTTGTGGCTTTGGAGCCTCCTGGCACTAGCTCTATAGACCAGGCTGGTCTCGAACTCACAGAGATCCGCCTGCCTCTGCCTCCCGAGTGCTGGGATTAAAGGCATGCGCCACCATCGCCCGGCTAGCTGTGTCTTAAGATAGTCCTACTTTCAGTGTTTTAAGGTCTACTGATTCCCACTGTGGACTCCATCAGTTTGCACTCTGTAGTGGTTTGAAAGAAAATGGCCCTCATAGGCCCATAGGAGTGACACTCTTAGATGTGGCCTTGTTGTAGATATAGCCTTGTTGTAGAAGTGTGTCACTGGGAGTGGCCTTTGAGGTTTCAAATGCTTAAGCCAGGCCCAATGGCTCACTCTCTGCTGCTGGCTGATTTAGTTGTGGAACTCTCAGCTACCTTTCCAGCACCAAATCTACCTGCATAAAGCCATCTTCCCACCATGACAGTGGACTAAACCTCTGAACTGTAAGCCAGCCCCAATTAAATTTCTCCTCACAGAGTTGCTGTGGTTCATAGCAACAGAAACCCTAAGACATACTCTAATAGTGAATAAGTCTTCCCCATTCTTCACACCCTAGCCAACATTTGCCTTCCAGAAATATGCCATTCAAACTGGGGTAAGATGTTTTAACTTTCATTCCCCTGATTGCAAAGAATGTTGTATACTTTGTCTATTTGTTGTTGTTGTTACAAGCAGAGTCTGCCCTTGGGTTTCCTGGCTGCCCAGACCCAAATAATCATACAGAAACTATATTAATTACAACACTGTTTGACCAATAGCATAGGTGTATTTCTAGCTAGCTCTTACATATTAAATTAATCTGTGTTTTGCCACAAGGCTGTGGCTTACCAGTAAGGGTCTGGGTCCTTCTCCTTCATTGCATCTCTTTGACTTCGCCTACTCTCTCATTATCTCTGTTTGGATTTCCTGTCTGGCTTTACTTTGGTATGCCACTGACCCAAACAGTTTTATTCATCAACCAACAGAAGTAACACTTTATACAGAAGGACATTTCACATTATTTTTTCTTTCTTTTTTCTTTTTGTTTTTCGAGACACAATTTCTCTGTGTAGCTTTGGAGCCTGTACTGGAAATCGCTTTGTAGACCAGGCTGGCCTTGAACTCACAGAAATCCAGCTAACTCTGCCTCCTGAGTGCTAGGATTAAAGGTATGTGCTACAACCACCCAGCCCAGATGTTGTATACTTTTAAAACTATGTCTCAACCATTTTATACACACACACACACACACACTTGTGTTTCCTACATGTGGTGTGTAGGTACCTGCAGAGGCCAAAAGAGGGTATCAGATTTACTGAAGCTGGAGGTATGATACGAAATTCCTAAGGTGGCCGTGTGGAACTACATGTACATCCTCTGGAAGAGCAAGTACTCATGTTTTCCCTTTCTTAGCCAGCTTTGTCCTCTTATTTATTTATGCTTGAGAGTTTCTTGTATGAACACTGTATTTATAGCATTTCTCCTTCCATCTCTTCTTTGTAACCTCTCCCATGACCCCCACTCCTCAAATTCATTGCCTCTGTTTCCCCCCACCCCACACACACTACAGTCTGATGACCTGAGTTAGATCCCTGGTTCTCCTCCAAAATACAGACTATTGCTTCTGCTTGTCTCCTAAAACTTGAGGGTAAGACCCTATGGTGAAAGACTTTGATCACAGGACTTGGGGAAATCAAGTGGATACTGTCCCAGAGAAGTTCCTCTCCAATGGCTACCTTTCATAGTATTAGAAGGTACTAGGCAGGTACTGTGGAGAAGGGTATTACAGTCCTACCCAACTGTGAACCTTGAGAACTACAGTACAGACCAAGTGGTCAACAGTGGCAATTATGCAGGCAACCAATAGTTGTGTGATTGGATTTAAATACGAGAACTCAAGCCTTATACTGTAAGTCTGGCCAAGAAAGAACCCTTGGCTTAAGGAAGGGGTCACAGACCTAGAAGAGAACCTCCTCCTTCTCTTGTAACGAACTGATATAGTATCCAAATGTCTTCTAAGTACCCATAGAATGTGGTTTTTAACCTTCACCAGAGAAACATCTTTTTGCAGAGAATATCATCAGGTCAACAAACAGAGACTAAGTGACTCTAGAGTGCCTCTCCCCATATGGGACACCTATAACACAAGCCCACGCCCAAGGTTCAGACAACATTGCTAGGAGGGGACAGAATTTAAGAGCCAGAGGTTCAAAAAAAAATACCATGAGGTTCAGTATCTTTTGGACATGATAGGGATGCTGCACCCATGACTTCGGAAGACTGTAGTTGTCTGTACACAGACTGCACATTAGTGAGACAGTCCCCATTCTAGCATGCTTGTGGAAAGGCTTATAAGGCCACACCCCTGGTTGAGGAGCTACAGGCAAAAGTTGAAGGCTACTCAGGAAGAGTCAATTTTTTTTTTGATGACACGGTTATTGGTTTGCTGCCCTGCTCCAGTAGTCATACACCCATGTGAATATGTGTAACATTCATCAGTCAGTATGTGTCAGTATGTTATGTATTTATCTAAAACTGAGGACACGAGAGGAGAATGCATGTGAGGGGACCATGGGAGGAGAAAAATGGAAGAAAACAACTGGAGAAAAGTGGAAGGGTTGATATGATAAAATTGTATTGTTCTCATGTAAGAAATATCAAAGGCTAAAACAAGAAGACGGAACAGTCCACTTAGGTGACATCCAGTGATCAGACCGATGTCTACTGTGTCAGCTGATACTGCAGCAGAGCAGCAGTGGAAGGACACGGTACTGAAGGAACAGTCCTTTCAGAACTGCTTGTAGGACACACTGTAGAGACACAGACCAGAGATAAGAAAACAGTTTTCGGTGCCTGAGAGGAAAAAAAAATAACTGGACGCAAGTAATTGTAAAGGGGGAGGGATTCATTTAAGAGTCTCCTGGTTATAAAAATGAGGAGAAAAAAGGACCTAAGATGTTTCTGAGATTCCACGGCTACACTAACTTGGGAAAATAGAATTCTCTTGGATAGAAAATGAGAACAGGTGACAAGGGCAGCTTGCCATGTTATCCTGGGATTTCAAAGCGCTGGACTAAAGAGGTTGGGAAAAAATTAGCACTACACACATATTAAGAGACAAGGTAATGAGCCTATGGGATGCCAAGACAGATGAAGGGCATAGCTTACACCCCAAAAATGTGTCAGTCCCAACAAATGAGAATAAAGATCATTACCCAAATTCTCTTAGTCAAATTAAGCAAGCTTTATTTTCTGTCAGACGAGGCTGTCTCCCTAGAGTGAAGTTTGAAATGACCAGCACTGAATAGAGGATAAACTGGGGTTTACATTAGCCCCAAAACTGAACAGCTATGGGGGCTTCAAGGGTAGGAGGGATTTTTGAATATGTAGGAACTTGGCTTAATATTTCAAATTATATGGCAGAATATCCTATCAGGGTGGAGTTCAGGATATATGGTATGAAATATATCAAATTCCAGAAAATGGGTCAAGATATGGTCAAATTTGAGTTTTACAGAAAACTGAAATGAACTTATTTTGACTTTGAAGTAAGAATACTTCTAATATTAAGATAATACAGTGTCTATAGAAAGAGGACACATTCTTGAAGAGGGCATGAAGAGAAAGGAAAACTCAAATGTGAGAGAGGCCAAAGATCATGAGAAAAGAGAGCACATTTGAACACAATAGAGGAGAATGGCTTCCTCCACTGGTGGGGGAAGCAGCCTCAAGGAAAATGGGCTTAGTTATCATTCTAGTCCTATGAGGAGACACTGTGTCAAAGGCAACTTTAGAAATAAACCATTTAATTAGGGGTTTGCCTCCAGTTTCTGAAGCTTTCATTCATGACTATCATGACAGCATGTGGTAGCAAGCAGAGACAGCACAAGAATGGGCCTGGCATGCACTTTTGAAACATCAGAGCCCACCCACAGTGACACATCTCCTTCAAAAAGTCCATCCTTCCTAATTCTTCCCAAACAGATCCACTAAATGGGGACCCAGTGTTCAAAGACAGGAAGGCACCTATGGGGCCATTCTCATTTAAACCACCACAGGCTTTAAGGAAGCAGGCATCAAGTAAAGCTCAGGTATACAAGGATGCATGAGTAGAATACCAAGTGAAGGGTTACTGGGACTTTTACAGGGAAGGGGACACTGAAGATAAGCATCTTAGAGGGGACACAAATCTGTATAAACAAAGTCCCATTCTCAGCAGGAGAAGAAAGATATCTTG